TAAATATGTTTTCTGCCCATTTAGTGTGATTGGACGAGTGGTACAGAAAATCAAGAGGGATGAAGCAAAAGCTCCCATGATAGCACCTCTATGGCCAAAACAGAGCTTCTCGAATTGTCAATCGACTGTGCTCGATTGCTGCCCAAGCATCTCCTGGCGTTCAGCCCTCTACCACTGAAATTACACCCACTCCTTCAACAAGGCAAGTTGAAAATGGAGTTCTACAAGGTTAAGGAATTCTTGGCTCTACTGTATACATCATTTTGCATTCATGGAAAGGTACCACCAAGAAACAGTATAGGACATTTCTCCAAAGGTGGTTGCAAGTTTGTTGTGAAGGGGGTATTAATTCCATTTCACCATCTTTAAATGATGGTTTGAGCCTTTTGGAGCATTTTTATCAGAAAGGACGGAGTTATTTTGCTATAAACTCTGCTCGCTCTGCGTTATCATCTGTAGTAAAAGTAAATAATGTGCAATTTGGACAGCATCACCTTGTCATACGAGTTATGAAGGGTATTTTCAATTTAAGACCATGTTTCCCCAGATATAATGTCACATCTGTTGTTTTGCAATATCTGAAAGCTCAATCTGACTCAGATTTGAAAGATCTTACTACTAAGTTGGCTGTGTTACTGTTGTTATTGTCAGGACAACGTGTTCAATCCCTCCATTTGATAGACTGTAGAAATTTAGATATTGTAGACAATAGTGTTAGAATTAGATTTGGAGATTTATTAAAGCAACGCGACCTGGACACCATCAAGGGGGAGATAACCATCCCTGGATTTTCAGACGTTAGATTATGTGGAGTAAGGATGCTCAAAGACTATTTTCATGTGACTAGACCTCAGAGAAGATGAAACTGCTTTATTTATTGCAGTACAAAAGTCTCACAAACGGGTCAGCATAGACACTATTTCCCGATGGATTGAGATGTTCTTGCTGCTGCAGGAATAAACCTGGCAATGTTTAAGCCCCACAGTGTGAGATTAGCTTCAACAAGTGCAGCTGCACCTGCCAATGTGCCACTTGCGCTCATGGGTGAGTGAGTGAGTGAGTATGGTTTTACGCCGCTTTTAGCAATATTCCAGCAATATCACGGCGGGGGACACCAGAAATGGGCTTCACACATTGTGCCCATGTGGGGATTCGAACCCGGGTCTTCGGCTTGACGTGCGGACGCTTTAACCACTAGACTACCCCACCGCCCCTGCGCTCATGGGATTCCGATAGTACGGAATATAGGGAGGTGGAATTTGTGTCATGTGCATTGTAATATCCTCCAGCACGTGCACTTCTCTTCGCATATGAACCAGAGAAATCGTTGTATGTTGCTGTTAAACTTGAACGTGTCTATTTGCAACCACGTGACCCCATCCATATTTGAAATATAATTGTGTCTATCCATCACTCATTCCCCTGAAGGGTGTAAAATGCAATCTGTGGCTGCGTATAAAAATATTCTGGTTCAACGAAGACAGGGTTAAGAGGTGAATTTGAGAACAGGTGATCCCTACCATATTTCAAATATTATTTTGAGCTGGACATTTTTTTAAAAGATAAGATGTCTAAGAAACCTATGAACAATAGTGAATCTCGCGAATGGTCTCTGTAAATGTTTCTGATAAAAGTTATATAATTTTTAAAATGAGACCATGAAGAAATATTCTTTGAGTGCTTGTAAAGCTCCCCTCCTTGTTATCTAAGGTGAAACAAGTACACCTCTGTCAGTCTTCATTTTTTGCACCAGAAATGGGCTTCACATATTGCACCCATGTGGGAAAACGAGGGGGGCCATTCTTCGGCATGACGAGCGAACGCTACTCCACCCCTGATACAATCATGGCGAGTGAGTTCAGTTTTACGCCGCTTTTAGCAATATTCCAGCAATATGACATATCCTGCATGACGAGCCCATGCTTTAACCAAGGATGCCCCACCGCCCCTGATACAAAGACGAATGTCAGGATTCGTACAAACTGCAGCGTTCGGAGCCTGTCCATACCCTTTCAGTCATTGTGCACACTTCAGGCCACAGGCGACTCCAGTACATCCATACATTGCCGCCATTGCTCCCAATACGCAGTAGAGCCTCGCATGATGAGATGCCCGTTTCAGACATTCAGCAATGAACACAAACACAGACCGGGACATTTATGTATTTTAATTACAGACATGATTACTTAACTACAAAGGAAACAATATGTTGGCAACATGTAGTATTTGTATAAATCAACAAGTTAAAATCAGATGTGTGCAAGCTATCGATCCTTTATATCTTGTCCTTCTCTATCTGTCCCTAACACGCCGTTCTCTTTTCTAAATCTTGATGAAACATGTACTCTAGTTGCCAGACTATTCAGTCTATCTGGGTACTGCAGATGACACCTTTCTCATGATATGACTACTAATTTTCCCTGTATCTGATTGGCTTAATAGTCACTTATACAATTTGCCATAACGTTACGTTAACCTCATATGAGGTTAATTTAGCAATACGAAGAACCCCTCGGCTGAAAATAGAATGGTAAACCCCAAAACGTAAACTTCTGATCCTGCCTGCAGGTTGTAACTACACAAGGTTCCTGTGAAGATACTGATTCAGAGTTACTTCCCTTTGCAAACAAAGGCAGACGAGAAGGTTAGCAGAAGTAATCTTTAATCAATCTAAAAATTACGGTATCAGAGTTTTCAGTCAGAAAATAAAAAATAAATCACTTGTCAAAGGTCGATAAATCATTGGATCAACCGAAACTTAAATCAAGTATTGTATTTTGTCATATTTAGCAATATAGAGAAGTATTAGTGGGTACTTGTCATGTGCCGTCTTTGAAGTAGAAACATATCTTTGGTCCCTTCGGTCACTGTACATACAGATCACATATGGCCACAATAATATTTTTTAATATTAGTGTTGATGCTTTGGGATCAGTTTCTGGACTTGCCACTTCAGGAGAGTCTACTGTATATCATCATGTACATTTGAATACCTCCACGCAGTCAGTCCACTTGCACAAACCACATTCCCTTTCTATTTTGTTCAAGCACTCATGAATTATTTAATCATATGCTCTGTTTGATAGAAGATAAAATTAACAACAAGGTTAAAAAAAAGCTCAGCATGCCCCAAATAGCATATAATTGTCAAATTTGATCATATGCTGTGTTTCATAAAAGATGAAATAAACAATTTTTGAAAAAAGCTCAACATGTTCCAAATAGCATATCATTTGCACACTTAATCATATATGCTTGTGTTTGATTTGATAGAAAGCCAACAACAATATTTGAAAAGAAGGCTTTGATCATTTTGCTCACTTCAAACACAGACTGGGAGCTTTGATAAACAATTTTGATCATATAGAAGTCCTTCATCACCAGAAAGATGTTTGAATTAAGATGACTATGCTGGTCTTAACCAAGGTAACACGGTCCTCTGTATCCCCAGTTTGCATGAAATGAATCAATCTGTGAGCAATCTAGCAACCCTAGTTGGGCTGAAGGGTCGTTGTCGGAATGGGTACTACACATGTGTATCTCAGGTATGTTTCTGTATACCACACAATCCACAATCAGAATACAGAAACATACCCTATGACGAAAGTGCATTCCACATTGTGCGTCGTTTTCTTGATTGGAATTGTCATACTGTTGCATTAGATGCATTTGATTTCGTTACAGGGGGTACATATGTATCTGTGCCGACAATGACCCCTTCAACCTTTGTCGGACATCTGCATATAATGTAGCCCTTTGTAGACAGTAAGTTGAATGGGCACTTGTAGATAACAAACAAATTTGCAAACGACCCAGTAACTGAATCACCTGTAAGTAAGCAAGCCATACGCTTTTAACTGAGTCACTTGTCCATAACCTTGCCACATGCATGACATTTGGAGATGCTAGCCACCTGAAAATAACCCAGCCATTTGTGGACAACCACATTCTCTCTTATGAAGGGTCCTTACCTAAGTCTCTGTATTCCAACCATAGTTTAATATGTAACTGATTAACCTATCCCTTTGTAGGTAACCTTGGCACATTCAGGTAACATATATCACTTGCAGGTAACTGACTGTCTTGCAGCTAACCTAGTCATTTGCAGGCAACAAAGTCACATGGTAACACAGCCACTTGAAGATAAACCAAACATTTGTTGGAAACAGAGACAATTGCAGGTAACCTAGCTACTTAAGGTAGCCCATACAGGGTAACTGAGACAATTGCAGGTTACCTAGCTACTAAAGGTAGCCCATACAGGGTAAAGACAATTACAATTGCAGGTTACCTAGCTACTAGAACGTTGGTTAGCCAAGGTTGCAAAGACAAATTACAGGTCACCTAGCAACTTGAAGATAACCCAGCCATCAGTTGGTAACCGTGACACATGCAGATAACAAATCCAATCCAGGTTGCCTAGCTACTTGATGACAACCAAGCCAGGTCACCTAGACACATACAGGTAACCAGTCACTACATTCTCCTCCATTACGGATCAACACACACAATACCTAGGTCCCCTTACTCCAAACATTTTGAATAACATATAACTGATTATCATGCATAAATGGTTCAGTTGCCTTTATGCCACAACGAAGAACAACTATATCATCAGGCTATGATCAGTCAATAATGCCATTATATATAATATTGATACCTGACTTTGGATTTCATTCACTCACATCCTGAAGAGTTACCCCAGTCTCCACACAGGCACATCCATGTCTAATGCCTCTTTCATACATCTCTGATATTCAAATATTGCAAGACAACAACTACAACAGCTACACTAGCTCATGATATTGCAGGTCAGGAGGATGTTTAAAGCCTTTTCAGTACAAATATATACACCTGACTGGAAGAGTTGACACATGAAGTGTATTTCACTCAGCAGTGATCCATCTAGAAGCTTGGACAATCCAGCTTAGGCCTGTATACCAGGACAAAACAATGAAAGTAGTGAAGGACTGGTCATTAATACTAGAGGAGAGAGTGAGTTTAGTTTTACGCCGCTTTTAGCAATATTCCAGCAATTTCAGAGCAGGGGACACAAGAAATAGGCTTCACACATTGTACCCATGTGGGTAGTCGAACTCGGGTCTTTCAGCATGGCAAGCAAATGCTTTAACCACCAGGCTACCCCACCGCCCCCATATACAATGGAGGAGGGTGATTGAGTGATGTCATGGGTTTTGGATGTACTATTGTACTGGAAATATTGACCAACAGCAAACATTCATCATATTTTGGGATCACCCTCCCCAACGTCCTGTTCTCTCTGAAAAGTATACACTCTATACACTCTATAGTTTATCACAAAATGGCCACCTTTTTCACCATCCTCCAAGAATGAGTAAATAATTTTTGTGACCCTCAACTAGATACTGCGATGTTTTGTGGTGACCTTCACTGATTTGTTCTGATATGCCCCTTGTTATAAATGACCAGAACTTTTCATTAAAGCTAAAACATAAAGAAAACAAATCATAAACTGCCTCCTGCCCCTAAAATATTTAACAGGATAATTATGTAAGTGGAAAGGTGTGTGTGTCTGTGTCTGTATCTTGCTGTGCTTCAGATCTGCTCAGGTAACTCTGGGGACACTTGCATAGGGTGTTACATGACATCCACCCAGAGGAAAGTCTGATGGCCAATGCACATCTAAATGAAGGATGTCCTTGTTCTTGCAAATATCAGTTTTCTAACGTAACTATGCATATCATTACCAGCTTGACTGTCCAAATGAAAACCTTCATAGAATGTACATACTGTTCCTCCAATGATACACCCTTTTGAATCTGAGTGAGTTTTAGTTTTACACCGCTGTTAGCAATATTGCAGCAATATCACGGCGGGGACCACCACAAATGGGCTTCTCACATCATACCCATGTTGGAAGTCTAACTTGAGTCGGTGTGACGAGCCAAAGCTTTAACTACGAGGCTACTCCACAGCCCCTTTTGAGTCTAGATACCATGGCACTCAAAAAGAACAGTGCAATTATCTACAATATGATGGTTTTGTTTTTTTTGTTTACATTCAGAAGATGTTTTAGTTCATTATCAAAACACCAAATTCAGATGTGTGTGGTCTGAATGCCTAGCTCACTTGTGCAGGAAATTAAAAGCCTTAATGCTGATTCAATGACTAGACCATTCACCAGACGCAATGCTTTACAGAGGAGTCCTGAGATACTTATGCAGATAAGTGTTCCATCTGTGAAATAATTCTGATATTAATAAGATTATGTCTGTCGTCATGTATGATATTGTGTCTGTAATGGCGTCTATGGATGTGTCTAGGTATGTCTGCTGTATACAAGTGTCTATAGGTGAGTGCACTGCAATGTCAGACGTTGAGTACTAGCATCTGCTTAAGTTTTGTTGATGTCCCGTCTGATGAGTCTGTAATGGCGTCTGGATGTGTCTGCAGGTGTGTCTGCTGTCTATAAATGTCTCTGAAGGTGTGTCTGCTGTCTATAAATGTATCTGCAGGTGTGTCTGCTGTCTAAATGTCTCTGCAGGTGTGTCTGCTATCTATAAATATCTCTGAAGGTGTGTCTTCTGTCTATAAATGTCTCTGAAGGTGTGTGTGCTGCCATACCTGACGTTTGATTTTACTGTCTGGCTAAAAGATATTTGGCTTCCCAAGTCTTATCAGGCAGAAGCAGCATACATCAGAAGAGTTTTTAAAAGTTAACGGTTACACACTTCCATTCAGACAGACCAGCAGCACACCATTCATGATTCAAACAACATGGAGGAAACATGACAAGACACTGCCATGATGAAGAATGAAAGAAGACTATGTACAGTTCTACAGCAGAACACGGTTACAACTCGTCTCTCATCTTTTCCAACGTCGTGCCATAATCTGTTGCCTGGCTGCTGACGAACTCCTCCTGGTGTTCACGGATCTCGTCAAAGGTGAGGAAGTGATCATTGTCGGAGTCTGCCACTCCCATGAGGTGGTCCACCTCCTCCACAGCAGAGTCCATGTTGTCCTGCACAAACCACTTCTTCAGCTCACTCCCCTCCAGGATGCCGTCACCGTTCTTGTCATAGTCGTTGAACTGGGTGCTCTCTGTCGCCCTGGATTCAGCATCATCAACATCTGCCAAAGAGCATCACACATCTCTGTAGTCAGGACAATAGCATACTACCAGACATGAGACAATTGCCACCATGAAACATGTTACAAAATATGCTATTCCTAAGACCAATCACATCCCTACCCACCCCACATATAAAAAGAAATAAAAGGATAAGGACAAATATGCATTTTTTAGATTAAAAAATATTAGTGTATACTTATCCAGTCTCATACAATTTGATTTTTTTCTCCTTTAACCTGAGATACAGAGGAAGAATTCAGTGTTATGATCCCCTAGAACAGCTAAACCATCTCAACCGAACACAACCCTCCACTTGTGCAGCGTTCACCCACATGACCAGCCTGTGACTTGCCACTCTCTCCATTTTCAAAATTTTCAAATCGTCATAAAAATTAGTGGAGAGTAAAAATGGTTAGGGGGAGGGGGTTCTTTAGTGCATGAGTAAGGATAAGTATAAAATAACATTTTTACTCTAAGAAATGCATATTTGTCCTTATCCTGACTCATACTATTTGCTTGAATCCGTCGGTAGGTGGTGGGTGGGCAGCCACCTTATTTTGTTCACATGACCCTGATGGAACTTCTCATGAAGGAATAGGGATATACTCCGAAACGTATTCCTCATAATAAAGAAGCTGAAGCCCATAAAACTCTCTCATGCGCTGAATTACATAGGTGACTCTCAGTCATTGGTTATGGGAAGGTAACCTAAATTACATGAATGTATGCGACTCTGGTTGAGAACTCTCTTCTTACAGGAACTTGCAGTCAATTGATGCGCTAAAACCAAAAGTCAACTCGATGAACACCAGCAACATCTACTGTACCAAAATCTCGGAGAAAATAGTGGGGAAAGACAGCATCGTACTTCCAGAAACATCCTTCCATAATGGATGTGAGAGAGCAGTTGCTATGAATATTGGATGCTATGACTCTTACTTCTTGCAGATTGCATGCCCAGGTGGATCAAGCCCCTCAGCTATGTGGGCTCTGGGAATAACTGCCAAAAATGATATAGTTTTTCTAGAAACTTCTGTAGAAGTGTTCGACAGAAGTGATATGAATAACCTCTTGAACCTTCTACTTCTTAGAGCTGGTCCTTGGAAGTATATGCTATGAGTTCTGAGTGGACAGGGATAAATCTTCAATATTTCCTGATCCTAAAATCAAAATCTTGCAAACTTGTCAAAATGTTTCCATGTATCATCATACAGACTTCTAGTAGATCTTCTAAGTGCTCAAGAGACAGCCTTGGCTGCTCTAGCTGAAAATCATCTTCTGACAAGACAGTTGTTGATGTGTTTCATACATGAAGTCTGAAGAGCTCCTGTCTTGAGTGAAGTTGTCTTAAATGAGGATGAAGAAAATTTGGACAGTCTTGAAGTTTTAGACTTGCATTTCCTTCTGCCACCTTCGGACTTGGAAACAATTTCTTAATGGCCAATAGGGCACTACCAAAGTCAGTTTCAGGTTTTTTATTGGCAAAATCTTCCCTAAGACTCTTGGAATGAAAACCTGTGGAGGGAACGCATATGTCCTCCCAGGATATCAGTAGCACGTCAACGTTCCATGCCAAAGGCTCTGGATCTGGAGATACAAAGGTTGCTATCTTTTTGTTGAACCTCGTAGCAAACAGGTCAACCTTGCTCTTGAACTGACAGTAGAAATGCTTCCTATTGTAACACCTAATCTGTTGGCAATGGGGCATCTGCTATCATAGTTGTAGCTCTAGGAATGTGTCTTGCTTTTATCATGAGGTTGAGACTGTCCGTTGTATAGTTGAAACATCCAATGTATCATTTGCCTCAACTCTGGAAAATGGAACACCTTGAACCTATCTGTATGTTATAAGATACTTCTTGTTGAACTCCATGTTGTACTTTAGTTGCTTCTGGACACCAGAGAAACTACTTCTTAATTGAGTTCTCTGCATCGACTGTCTGTACATGGAGTTCATCATTTGTACTGACTTTATCAGCATTTGATCTTCAGAACCTTGAACCATTTCTTTATTCACACAGCGAATGCAACCATCAAAGATGGTGGGCGTCATGCAGAGGTCAGACCCCTGAGAATTCAACTTTCATACTTGTAAGACCTGCTGAAGTAGAACTAATATGATCTGATTCTTTCCCGGTCCGAGGATTCTTCATTGCATTTAACATGGCCTCGTTTATGGCATGAGACATGGCCAGTCCAAAGAATGATCTTCTGAAAGTATTATCTAGTTGTGATATCTTCTAGTCTGCAAGTCCTAGAGTTTGTATTGCTCATGAGAGAGTAGTCTTCATCAAACTCTGGTGCTTTGTAGAAAGCCTCCATGGTGTGTAGCGGGAACGTCTTTGAGTTGAAAGAAGGCATAGTACACTATAGGCATCCCCTGAGCATTTGTGGTCTGTACAATATATGTTTCAGGATATTTCACAATCTGAGAAATCGGCTTAATTGGAGGTAGGGTCAGCATCTTCATGTCTTCACCTTTGATACAGTACGTATCAGCAGGGGATGAATCATTGGGTGCAGAATCTAGTTAAATGATGATTCAGTATTATCCTCATCTTGGATGAAACTTGAATTAAGTGCAATGGAGCCATGTCTTGATGATTCGTCAAAAACTGATGAAGCTGGTGTAGACTGCGTTGATTTTTCCACCCCTTGCTGTTGTGTTGAAGAGCAAGTAGGGCTTGTCTAGTGTTGTTTGCTACTAAATCTGGTTGATTAGTTGTACACTTAACTGCATGATGCCTGACATCTGTACCAAGGCTTGCGGCTGTATGAAGGTCTGGGATTAGCAAAGCTCTGAGACTGCGTGAAGGGTAGATCTTCTGTGTCTGGTGATGCAATAATCTTCTGAGAATCCTACACACAGGTTTCATACCCTTCTTCTACAGTAGAAGGATTCAAAGCCCCTGAAGTAACAGTTGCAGATGGCTTCTTAGATGTAGATTTCTTCTACACGGTCGTCTTCAACTTTGCAAGTGTCTGTAGATTTTTCTGTTCTTCAGGTGCTAATTTCCTCTTGTTCCATATGACCTTCAAGACTGACTCATTAACCCTTCCTACAACAGTAGAGTCCGGGAATGTGAACATGCTGCCGAATAAAAGAATCCATACTAAAACTTAATATCTTCCTCAGAACAAACTCGTGTTCTGCTAACTGTCTAATAATCTTCTCCACAAATGATGATGACTGGTACAAGGGCCTTTACGTTTCCTGTTGTTTCTTGTCCATCTTTTTCCTCTGCACTGCAAACAGCTAATCTAATCGTTATCCCCCTGAGGGGCACAGAAAGTAGATTTACTATCTATGTTACAATGTTTAGGAACACATAATGAACAGATACCGTGTAAATCCTGAGTGATACTCTAAGTTCACATGTAGAACAGTGTTTCATGGAGAGGCCATAATTTTGATGAAAATAAACTGAAAACATAATCAATAGATTTGATGCAAAGATAATCCAAGCTGAATGTTTTTAAAAACTTAAATTTTGACAGGATGGCTTGGATTAGAAAACAGAAATTTCCCCAACCAATCTGTTGAGCGAAAAGGGAGAGAGTGACAAGTCACCAGCTGATCTTATTATTGGGCATTTTGGAGTATTTAACACAGAATGTTTCCACTCTGTTTCTGGTTAATGGAGAGAGAAGCAAATAGTATGAGTCGAGAAAAGGAAAAATGATAGCATTAAGACTATACCCTGCCTTGGGGCACATTAAAATTTTGTATTTTCACGTAACAATGAGTAAAATTGAAGTAAATGTCAACTACAAAGGTAGTCACATAAAGTGAGTGAGTGAGTATGGTTTTACGCCGCTTTTAGCAATATTCAAGCAATATCATGGCAGGGGACACCAGAAATGGGCTTCACACATTGTACCCATGTGGGGAATCGAACCCGGGTCTTCGGCGTGACGAGCAAACGCTTTAACCACTAGGCTACCCCACTGCCCCAGTCACATAAAGCCAAAAGAAGAGACAAGACACCATGTTCACTATACATGATTAGAAAAATTATTAAATATGAAATATTTTCAACAGTCTTGAATAACCTTCTATAACTTCAGTTGTTTGTGAGAATCCATGTCTCATTCAGACACAGTGCACTAAATAAATTCACATTGATCAAGGGCAATAACTGTGTTATGTTCAAGATAAAAAAAAGATCACTAGCAAGAGAGGTAACTCTGGAAGAAATTTTATGGCACCATAAGTCATCAGTAGTTTCTGAGTAGACTGTCTCCATTGTAGACATTACGCATTACTTTAATAATAATGATAGATGGATTACAGATTGTAACTGTGTAAAAGAATATAAGGGGCACCAGTTTATAAAACAGAGTCTCAGATAAGTATATCTTCGATAAACAAATTTTCATTCTTTGATCTTCAGTAGTTTTTTATAAAAATTTGTCCCTATTGAGAAGATGACTGACAGAATGACAGAAAGATCAGATGAAAGGACTAACTCTGTAACATCTTGAAACCTACCTCCAATATACTCTGCAAGTGAAACCTTGCCATCATTGTCCTTGTCATAGTCCTTGATGCCTCTCTCAATCTCGAACTTGTGCATGTGCTCAAAGTCATATGGGTGATAGAAAGCCACATACTCGCTCTTGTCAAGCATCTTATTCTTGTCTAGATCAGCACCATCGAACAGCCTCTCATCTTCATCAATCATCTGACAAAAGCGAACATCAGATACTATCCATTTACTATTCACAACACACAAGATAACATATGCCATCTGAAATCTCTTTCCCACATCTGACACATCTTACCATCACCTGACCCATCTACCCATCACCTGACACTTCCCTCTCCCTGACACATCTCCCCACCCCCTGACGCATCGATTCCCCTACGACTGATGCATCTCCCCACCACCTGCACATTTCCCCACCTCCTGACACATTTCCCCACCCCTGACACATCTCCCCACCCCTGACACATCTCCCCACCTCCTCACACATTTCCCCACCTCCTGACACATCTCCCCACATCTCCCCACCTGACACATCTCCCCACCCTGACACATCTCCCCACCCCTGACACATCTCCCCTGACCACCTGACACATCTCCCCACCACCTGACACATCTCTCCACTTCCTGACACATTTCCCCACCCCTGACACATCTCCCCACCCCTTGACACATCTCCCCACCTGACACATTTCCCCACCTCCTCAAACATTTCCTCACCTGACACATCTCCCCAACACATCTCCCCACCTCCTGACACATCTCCCCACCCCTGACACATCCCCCCACCTCCTCACACATTTCCCCACCTCCTCACACATCTCCCCACCTGACACATCTCCCCACCCTGACACATCTCCCCCACCCCTGACACATCTCCCCGACCACCTGACACATCTCCCCACCACCTGACACATCTCTCCACTTCCTGACACATTTCCCCACCCCTGACACATCTCCCCACCCCTTGACACATCTCCCCACCTCCTCACACATTTCCCCACCTCCTCAAACATTTCCTCACCTGACACATCTCCCCAACACATCTCCCCACCTCCTGACACATCTCCCCACCCCCTGACACATTTCCCCACCTCCTCAAACATTTCCTCACCTGACAAATCTCCCCACCACCTGACACAACTCCCCACCCCCTGACACATCTCCCCACCACCTGACACAACTCCCCACCACCTGACACAGCTTCCACCACCTGACACATCTCCCCACCCCCTGACACATCTCCCAACCTTCAGACACATTCTGCCACAACCTCAGCACCCACCTCAACCATGTTCCTGTTGTCATCCTCATCAGGTTTTTCCCTCATCTTCTTCACATCCTCCAGAGTGTAGTCATACTGTTGCTTCAGGTACTCAGCCCACCCAAGTGCATCATCATGATTCTCGTCCTCCTCCTTGAAACGCTCAAGCGCTTCTTCCTCATCCAGTGACCTGAGACCAGTTATATTATGCTTATTGGGTTCGAACAAATGTTGTTCCTTCCTTCAAACTGACAACCACCTAATTCCTTTCCTGTACCAACTGCACATTTACAACTCTTCAAACACATAATGGTAGCTTTGGTAAACTTTGAATATTTCTACATTTAAGAGTGCTGTCAGCAACAGTCAAGCTGTAGCACAGTGGTTGAAATAGTGAGCAGCATCTTACACAAATATGACGACACATAATCAACCAAGTCACCAGGACTGACCACCCAATCTACATCTATTGCCCCTGTGCAACTGTTCCCAACTATCCTAACACTGGTCCCCATGGTTCCCCATCACACATACATATACCTACTTGAAAGACTGCAGGATCCAGGTGATGAACTCATCCCTGGAGATTCGTTTATCTCCATCCAGGTCGTGTTTCACGGCCAGCTGTTCCAGCAGTTTCTTGGCCTGTTCAGGGCTCAGCTCATCTGCTTCCTCCGCATCATGACGGGATCCTAAAACCAATACAGGCACCGGTTAAAACTGTTCCTTAACTGTGTAGAGGACTGTCTTTGTTGGGGAATATCTGTGTAGTGCACTGTCCTTGCCATGGACTGTATGTGTAGTGAATTGTGTGTAGCGTACTGTCTTCTGTTAAATGAACTGACTGTGTTGTGGACACACCTCCCCACCACCTGACACATTCCCCCACCACCTGACACACCTCCTGACACACCTCCTGACACACCTCCTGACACACCTCCCCACCTGTCTTTGCTGTTGACTGGTATACCATGGACTGGTTAACTGTCTGTGCTATGCACAGGTGGACTGTGTGTGCTGTGGACTGGTGGACAATGTGCACAGTGAATTGATGGACTGAGTGTACTGTGGACTAATGGACTGTCTGTGCTGGACTGGTGGACTGTGTGCTGTGGACTAGTGGACTGTGTGCTGTGGACTAGTGGACTGTCTGTGCTGTGGACTAGTGGACTGTGTGTGCTGGACTGGTGGACTGTGTGCTGTGGACTAGTGGACTGTGTGTGCTGTGGACTGGTGGACTGTGTGTGCTGTGGACTACTGGACCGTGTGTGCTGTGGACTGTGTGTGCTGTGGACTAGTAAACTGTGTGCTGTGGACTGTGTGCTGTGGACTAGTGGACTGTGTGTGCTGGACTGGTGGACTGTCTTCTGTGGACTAGTGGACTGTGTGTGATGTTGACTAGTGGACTGTGTGCTGTGGACTGTGTGTGATGTGAATTGATGGACTGTGTGTGCTGTGGACTAGTGGACTGTGTGTGCTGGACTGGTGGACTGTGTGTGCTGTGGACTGTGTGTGATGTGGACTAGTGGACAGTGTGCTGTGGACTGTGTGATGTGAATTGGTGGACTGTGTGTGCTGTGGACTAGTGGACTGTCTGTGCTGTGGACTAGTGGACTGTGTGTGCTGGACTGGTGGACTGTGTGCTGTGGACTAGTGGACTGTGTGTGATGTGGACTGGCAGACTGTGTGTGCTGTGGACTAGTGGACTGTGTGCTGTGGACTGTGTGTGATGTGAATTGATGGACTGTGTGTGCTGTGGACTAGTGGACTGTGTGTGCTGGACTGGTGGACTGTGTGTGCTGTGGACTAGTGGACTGTGTGTGCTGTGGACTGCTGGACTGGTGGACAGTGTGCTGTGGACTGTGTGATGTGAATTGGTGGACTGTGTGTGCTGTGGACTAGTGGACTGTCTGTGCTGTGGACTAGTGGACTGTGTGTGCTGGACTGGTGGACTGTGTGCTGTGGACTAGTGGACTGTGTGTGATGTGGACTGGCGGACTGTGTGTGCTGTGGACTAGTGGACCGTGTGTGCTGTGGAATGTGTGTGCTGTGGACTAGTAGACTGTGTGCTGTGGACTGTGTGCTGTGGACTAGCAGACTGTGTGCTGTGGACTAGTGGACTGTGTGCTGTGGACTGTGTATGATGTGAATTGATGGACTGTGTGTGCTGTGGACTAGTGGACTGTGTGTGTTGGACTAGTGGACTGTGTGTGCTGTGGACTAGTGGACTGTGTGTGCTGTGGACTAGTGGACTGTGTGCTGTGGACTGTGTGTGATGTGAATTGGTGGACTGTGTGTGCTGTGGACTAGTGGACTGTGTCTGCTGGACTAGTGGACTGTGTGTGCTGTGGACTAGTGGACTGTGTGTGCTGTGGACTGTGCTGTGACTGCTGTGCTGTGGACTGTGTGATGTGAATTGGTGGACTGTGTGTGCTGTGGACTAGTGGACTGTGTGTGCTGGACTAGTGGACTGTGTATGCTGTGGACTAGTGGACTGTGTGCTGTGGACTTTGTGTGATGTGAATTTGTGGACTGTGTGTGCTGTGGACTAGTGGACTGTGTGTGCTGGACTGGTGGACTGTGTGTGCTGTGGACTAGTGGACTGTGTGTGCTGTGGACTGGTGGACTGTGTGTGCTGTGGATTGATGGACTGTGTGTGCTGTGAAATGTCTGCAGTGGACTCTGTGTGGTGGACTGTGTAGTCACCTGTCTTTGCAGAGGACTGTGTAGTTGAATGTCTGTGCACAGGACTGTCTAATGACTATCTGTGTAAAGAACTGTGTAGATAAAAGTTTGCGTAGAGGACTGACCATAAACTCAACTCTTGTCTTGTCATGGAATGTCTTTGAAGTTTAATAACTGAGCCACTCTGCCAATGTTTCAGTGTGTGAAGGAACAATTACAACCTGACCTTAAAAAAGGGAGTAGTTCTTTTGACAGGAATGTCATGAATGCTGCTGGTCCAAGCATGTATGAGACAAGAGGTAAGGAGCAGAACAATGTCTGATCACAAGCCCATGACAACTCAGGGCATTAGGATCACTCATCCAGGTACAGAAACACAGTCTAGTAAAATTTTCATCTCATAAATCAAACTAATTTAAATACAAAATTAATATCTAATGCCAAAGGTTCCGATCGATATGCTGCTCAGACATTCTTGTACAATGAAAGGATTGCAGTTTACCAGGCCTTGGCATATTCCTTTCAGGCAAAAGCAAGGGTATTCAATGCCAGTGTCAAAAACACCATAGCTATTTAATGACTGACAGCATTGTTGAACGTATGTCAAATTTAGAAACAATGTGAAACTTTCTGAAACAATCTCACAGCTATATAAGGGAAGCCTTTTGTTTTTGCATTTACGTAACAGTGAATTAAACAATACAACAGTGAAGTGCAATATTACAGTGAAGTAATGGACAGAGTTTCCACTGTCTCCAGTAAATACTTAATTTGGTTCTCTTAACTGACTGAAAAATATTACGCCGCCTAGGATTCCAGATAAACCTGGAGGCTGTGCCCGGTCACTGTGTCCTGTAAAATACCAATACTAAATTTTGTTCTGCTTAAAATGTTACCAAAATTAAAATAAAATCACTAAAATAATCCTCTAATAATAGAATCGGCCACTTGCGATTTTGTGTGAGATGAGGTTTCTTTCTAAATTCATTATGCTATGTGCAATGTGACTGTTCAATTTGACAGTCATTCAGAAATGATTTATTTTGTACCTCTAAACATTACTATAATTACTTTAGTCATGGAAAATGACTGCTTAGAAAGAAAAAGAGAAAGCTGTAACAGGTGAATAAATTCCTTTATTCCATTTCATTGTCTTTTTTATCATATTTTGTGACCTGCCGATTTTGTGCAGAACCGGTAAATCAGGAGGTCGCCAAAAAAAATACAGCAGAAACACTGAATGTAATCTACTTCTAATGTTAGTCAGCAATATTATAGCTACAAAACACATAGACATTTTACTCAGGGGGGGTAATTTTATTTTAAAAAATTCTAAGAATGCAGCACAAGGAATCTCTACATTTTCAGAAAACTAAAGAAATCAAACGTGATATTTGAGATTACACTTTCTAAGGTGCAGATTCTAGTACTTTTTCTTGTTGACCCATCCGGGATTTAAACCAACACTCAGATTGTGGCCATGTACAGATGGGTACAGAAAGTACATGATCGAGGCAACCTGCTGTCAGACTTCCATTTACTGTGGAAGCTACAGTGGGTGAGTGGGATACATTGCTGACTTTGTGTGCTGCCAGTTAGTCTCCTGACTTGACCTCTTTCTAACAGACATTGTGTGCGGAAAAAATCTAGATTTGTCAATATGGTCAGTGTGATGTAGTCAGTAGGCTTCACTGTGAAGACACCGGGGCCTGAGTGAGTGAGTGAGTTTGGTTTTACGCTGCTTCTAGCAATATTCCAGCAATATCATGGCAGAGGACACCATGAATGGGCTTCACGCATGGTACCCATATGGGGAATCAGACGAGCGAATGCTTTAACCATTAGGCTACCCCACCGCCCCCACTGAGGCCTGAGGAAACTGTGATTACAGCCTGAGATCATTTCTAAATTTGAATCCACAAAGGCAGTAAGACCTTTTCAAACCTAGCTACCCTATGTGATCAAAATTCTTCAGTAATACTTGTACCAGGAACGTCATGAATGATTTAAGAACAAAAATCTTGAAATGTGTAAAGGGAACTTATAACAGGTGACAGGGAGTATGTCATGACATACCCACCAGCTTTGAGCAGTGGTGTAACGATTCATCAATAGTATCGACGTTTGCATCGTCAACTACGCGATACGAGTGCATCGATACATAACACATTGAGGCAATATATCAGGATATTTATATTGCCACAAGAGTGAATGAGTGAGTGTGTTTAGTTTTTATGCCGCACTCAGCAATATTCCAGCTATATGGCGGCGGACTGTAAATAATCGAGTCTGGACCAGACAGTCCAGTGATCAACATGAGCATCGATCTGCACAATTGGGAACTGATGACATGTGTCAACCAAGCCAGCAAGCCTGACCACCCGATCCCATAAGTTGCCTCTAACGGCAAGCATGGGTTACTGAAAGTTCATTCTAACCCCCAGACCTTCACGGGTTATCGCCACAAGACTGACTGACTGAGTTTGGTTTTACGCCGCTTTTAGCACTATTCCAGCAACATCACAGCGGGGGACACCAGAAATGGGCTTCACACATTGTGTCCATGTGGGGATTCGAAACCTGGGTCTTCGGCGGGACGAGCCAACGCTTTAACCATTAGGCTACCCCACCGCCCCTATCGCCACAAGAGATGATATATCCTGATACAACTTAAATACTACTTAAAGTTGTGAGGAGCATTGCATTAGGTATAGGGAGGGAGTCACTTTGAAATCCTTTGAATTTTAAAAAACAAATTGAACCTTATAGGAATTTGTTTGTATCTGTTATCTTTGTTACATGAACAAGTTGGTGTATGAGTGAAAGAGTGTGAACATTTTTCAAACTCTGTGAACTGTAGAATACTTGTCTTCAAGTAATTGAAATATGTTTTAGTTGTTTGACAAATAACACCATTCATTAACAACTATGAACAATGTCTTAGCTTTGTTAAGAAACAGAACAAAGAGAAGATAAAATTTAGAAAGCAGGCTTAAGAGGGGTTTTTTCAGTGATTCTGAATTCTGTCATAAATTACACTGAATTGTTTGTGAAAGCATTGGTGCAGAAACACGACTTCCCAAGAGAAACTTCAGTTTCAAACTTATATATATTAGATCAAGGTATACTAAATATGTTTGACTGTACTTTCTTAAGCATTAAATGCTGAAACTTTATTAGATGTACAGCCGTTCTAGTGTGTGTGAATGCAAGACAAGTTCTGTATAACAAATAAGTTTCAGTCATCTTATCTATCATATATGTTCTCTTTTTAGATATTGAAAAGTATCGGGATACGTATTGAATCGCCACCATTGTCGTGATGATAATTGTCTCGCAGGTTCCTTGCCAATACTTTCATGAAATATCGACTCGCCTCATTAAACTGGTATCGGGATATATTGTCTTGCCACTTAGGCCATGATACACAGCTCTAGCTTTGAGTCCATGTTGGATGAAAGTCAAATTACAAAACACTATCTATTGTTACTGTTTTGGGAAGAGTTTAAGAAACTCAAGTCCAGAGTATCTTTCAACATGGAAACATTAAGTTAAGATTCTACATATTCATCTGCGACATATAATCACTGTGATTTGAAAATGTTTTGGTTGCCTGGCAACACATTTGATCTCAACTCACAAACATGAATATTTAATATTTGACATTCCTTCTGCTCCTACCTTGAGTATCAGTTACACCAGAGACAGTTTCCATGACAGCGAGAAGCAATAACAATCTATCCTCCTGTAGTCTCAAGCAGGTCACCACCAAAATCTAAAATCAGCTTATCTAGCCATAGGTTGTAACCCACAAACAGGACAAATGTCCTCCATCTTGGAATGAAATGTGAATTTAAAAAAACACCAAACAAACATTTTTCTTTAAAACAATTTGCAAATTGTATTTAAAATAATATCAAAAGTGTTAACAAAACTGTGCATTTGTGGCCATTAAGAGTCCATTATTATCAAGATTATTACCAGTACTGAGACTCAGTTATTTACAGACCACCACAATATAGCTGGAATACTGCTGCGAATACCCCACTCAGACACATTATACTGAACGACATGTTGCACCCATTAATGCCGGCCAGGCAGGGACCACAAGTACCAATTTTAACGTCCAGTGGTGATCCAGACTCAGCGACCTTCCCGACTGGTAAACAACAAACAAACCAGTACTGCTATCATGATATATAGAGCTTCATTTGGAAATATGTTATGCGTATATTTGTTTGTTTGCTGTCGAACTCACATTACCACAATGGATATTTACCTGTTTCTGTTTATTTTATTTGTTGACTCTGAAAATCGTTTCAGGGTCCAAGGCATGTTACCAGGACTGTGTGAATTTGGTTTAACATAAAATGACAACTGAATACAGTGCCAAAAATGACTGGGACCCATGAAAACAGGAATCAAAGGTTGACCTCTCTGACTTGCTTGCCATCTTGAGTAAGACACTGAGAATGAGTGAGAATGGTTTTATGCTGCTTTTAGCAATTTTCCAGCAATATCACGGCAGGAGACACCAAAAATGGGCTTCATGCATTCAGCCAATGTGGGGAATCGAACCTGGATCTTCAGCATGATGAGAGAACACTTTTAACCACTAGGCTACCCCACTGCCTCCCAGCATACTTTGAAGTACTGTCACATTAGTCTGTGATGAGATATGCATGATAAATAGATATTTCTATCCGACATAACAGCACCAATACTTACAATCCACTGGTCCAGGTAACATCTTGCCTGACAACGTCTCGCATATACCAGAAAATATGTGCAGCAAATGTGCTGGAGTAACATGTCATATAAAATGACTATTTGCATATTGCAGTAGGTTGGCGTGTGCTTCGTGGCAGGAAGTAACAACATGGAGTCAAAGGCATGCAGTATGTACAAGTTTGCTTTGTACATGTAGATACGTACAAGCATGAATATGCGCCAAGTCAACTGCTAGAGCTAATTGTGTTCTAGCCCCACAGCACCTAGCCTAACCCTCGCAAACCTCCTTCAGGGCACCTGACATGGATTAAGTCTTAAATAGAAGCTATAGTAATTAATTCATGACATAGAGCTGCATAGTTCCATAGATTATCAAATGTGAAACAAACCGGTTTGCTGCCAGTATTGAACTGAATTAGAACAGATCAGACTTTATTTTTCTTACCAGCGGATCATTTTAACATAAATTCTGAATCATCCTGCTGTAATTTACTGGTCTCGGATATGGTGAATGGGAAGTTTAAGCTGTGATAAATGCATCCCTTTATAACCAATGCACAACTAGAAGTTTCTGTGTGAACAGTGTCAAACTTAGGGAACAGGGATCCATCTTAAGTGCCAAATTTAGTTGATTTACATTGTTAAGCAGGGCAGGAGCATCATCAAACAGCAATTTTAATCAGAAGTTTAAAAAAATCTTTGTTACAAGTCAATATGTTGATACTACTTACCCTTGACCATTTTGAACTTTGCCCTGGATAAGACCAGAGACCATACAATGGTCTTTGATTAGACTAAAGAACTAGCTTCAAGCCAACCAGAATCATTTTCTGATCATTTGAACTACTGCATGTTAACTGAGTTAGCTGGTTATGAGAAATGATATAATTTAATTATGCACAGGACATTATTTGCTGTATATGCGGCGTATAATCACAAAAAAGATATATTCAGTATTCAGTCAATAATTTATAGAGATAAAAAAAAACACATACCAAAACATGTGACTTTCACTAACTGGCATTTTAGTGGGCGTGGCACCTTTCATAATTCTACTCACCCAGAACAGCTTCATGGTCTCGGTGCTTGTTCCTCTCCCCATCAATCTCTTTCTCCCCCTCCCAGCGGGTCGTGAGGGGCGTGGGCCTCCTTTTCGGCAAACACCGTCAAGGCAAGGCACAGTGACAACACGCACACCAGACACTTCATCTTGGCGATCTGTCACAATATCAAAACTTAATGTTAAATTTTGTGGTGAACATGCTTTGAACACAATCAAGAGAATAAATGCACCTTGAAACAAATGCAATACTTACAATGTAACCGACTAGTCAGTCTTCTGGAAACAATGCAGAATGCAACTTTCTCTCAACACCCGCTCGCTGCTCGCGTTTACAAACTCAAAGTAACCGGAAGTAGTTGCAGTAGCGAGTTGTCAATTTCTGATTGGCTTTCGATAGTGTTACTCCATGTCGTCTGAACTCCATGTCGCTTTGAGCAGCCACATGTTCAACGTGTAAGAAGTCAAGTTGCCTGCTATAAATTGACTACCTATCATTTACATACTCTAGTACTTATGATTGTCATTTATCAACCCAAATCATAAAAAAACATCCACACAAATCAGAAATCATTAACTGGCGTATATATCGATATGTATTGCAACATTCCACAAAAAAGCCAAACCTAAATCAGTCCCTTTAATATTTTACGTACTATGTTTGTAAATTGATACATCCCTCCAATGAGTACAGTGAATAATAAGAAAAAATCACCTGTCACTGATATCATATATACATATAACCATGGAGATTTTGTATGTGAGCCGAATGTGGTAATTTTAGTGAAAGCAGCTGTGGCCCTGTTAGAATACGATGTTGGTGTACGTATGAATGAAACAAATATCTTTGTGAAAATGTATATCATTATTTCTTGGATTGTCCCGTTATAAATTACATAGAGAAACTTTGTTAGCTAACATTAGTGATATTTTACAAAATAGATATTTACAAGATATATGTCTTTAAATTATTTTATATGGCAATGCAGACCTCTCAACTGAAGAAAATCTGAATATCTTCAAACATGTCCATCATAACCTCAATCAAACTAAACGATTCCTCTGTTCATCCTAATCTGTTATATTCTCAAACTCAAGATCTCTCATGTATATGTTCACTGTATAATTGTTGTAAATATTGGGAGAGGGCGTCATTAAGTTGGATAGCTTGTGCCCAATCCTTTTCTTCAATTAATAAAATATGTTTAAATCAATGAAACAAACATATCAGCAATGTGTCTTGCTATGATATGTCTGGTTATGTTCTAATCATAATCTAAACAATGGCCTGAATATTGTCCATGTTGTATCATGGTGCACCTAGCTAGGTAGATGACTTTTGTCACATAACTTTGTATGCAAGAGACGATCGTGTAAAAATGAATTAGCACGTATGGTTAATGCACCTATATATATTATTGTGGTATGGCATGATTTCACATTTGTTGGTATCAATTCAAGGTAGCTATAATCCATTGCAATAAATTCCAAAATACGGTGGCACAAAAGCATTTAAACATTCCATGCATGCAGAAGCGTGTATGAAGGTCTTGACAGAACCTATTCATGTTCTGTACATACACGTATAAAAGGCATACCACAGGACCGGCGTATCTATAGATCCATACACTCACAGTATCTACAACCGGCGATGGTTGATTCTGTAGGAATGTTAGCCATCAGCAACAAATAGCCACAATATGTTTTGGGCGTTCTACTTTTGCCCCCTACTTTAGTGTCCTACAACAAAACCGTTTATTGTTGAAACCTGTTTAACCTCCTGATAATAAGTCTGTGGATTTTAGTGAATATTGAACGGGTAGAGCGTAGGGGTGGGTATTGCAGAGAATTTTCATATTGCGATATATTGCGATGCGAAAGCATGTATTGCGATATGTATTGCAATATATTGCATGAAGTATTTTTAAACAAAAAACTACTTATAATCGAGTTATTTCTTGATTTATAGAGCAAAAACACAACAAAATCACTAGGCTTGATTAAGCTTTAATAACAACTTTTAATCATGATCAAATAAAAATATGAATAATATTTGGCACAAATGAAACAAGGACATATCCGAAGATTTCCGAGTGTTACGAAGTTTTCCGAATGCAAGTCAAAATACCGATACGTATCGATTTCATGTCTGAACCGGTAAATACCGGTAAACCGGTTATATTGCGCAGCCCTAGTAGAGCGGCAGGGGATGGGTTCCTGGGTGGGATTGCAGAGTGCCTGGAGGTACCCATCTAGAATACACCCATTTACCAGCGTCGATCAGATTTAAGAACAATTACCAGTAATTTAACTTTCTGTTAATAGTTCTGTTGGTTTTAGAGAATATTGAACGGGCAGAGGCGGGGTGGGGGTGGGTGGGGGGGTGTTTTCCCCAGGGAGAGGTTGCCGGTTATCCATCTAGAATACATCCATCAGCTCATGTCAGATTTAAGAACAATTACTTAAACCACGAACGATAATGACAAAACCATATGTGTGTACCATGCGTAACTATAAACGCTCGTGTTGTGTTGGTTATTTTTGCCAAGTAAGCAGTTTCAGTTCTGAAAATACATTGATTCACTGGCGTAGTTGTTGTTTTATTAATTAACTGAAAACGGTTCGTGTTTCAGTTCTCGAATGTATGACTCCAAAACGGATCAAGATGTCCTTGAAACAGGTTTTTTGCATCTAAAAATTCATTTGAGAAATTGAAACGCTCAGTAGCAACATAGCAATATATCTTTCAGTCTGTGGTAAGGATCTGTCCGAATTGATGAGCGAGGGTTTCACCAGAAACCATATACTGTCATGATATTATATGTAGTCTCTGGTTTCACAGTTTGTTCGTTATGATAGCGTCACTGATCAGATGAATATTTTAGAAGGTTTAAGCTATGTCGTACAGGGCTATCCTTTATGCAGATATATGGTATAGCTTCCCGTGGAAAAGGTCAAAGACGAGTGCCAGTTGGCTATGACCTGAGAGACATTTTGATAACAATGGTGACAAGTCAATGTTTTGTTTTATTTTCGTTTAACACCACATGTACGTCGACCTGTCGTAAAACAGCGTAAAACTAACTCACCAGGCGAGTAGCAAGCCAGTTTTTCGTGTAAGCCTGACAGGTTGCAAAACTTTATATTAGATAGTATTGAGGACTTGCCCAACCTTTTTACCAACAATCATGTGTAAGCCCGGGCTCTTTTTATAATGGTAGCTCACTTGATCTGTTGCATTTACATCTTTGTATTCGACGCTGTGTTAGGCAGTTGCTGTGGTTTAGAATCGTATTATCTACAGTAGCAAATGGCACGCAGAGGAGGACGGGTGGTGACGACCCTAACCCGCGCTCGGTCCTCAGTGCGGTCATGACGTATTCATGATTTCTTGTTGAACGCCATACTCAGCAATATTCTCGTTACATGACCGTAATCAGTACATAATCCAGTCTTATAGATCAGACAGTCCAGTGTCGGTTGGTTTCAGTTGGTTTCTTGTTTAACACCGCACTCAGCAATATTCCAGCTATGTGGCGGCGATCTGTAAATAATCGAGTCTGGACCAGACATTCTAGTGATCAACAGTTACTGTATGAGCATCGATCTACGCAGCGAGCCTGACCACCCGATCCCGTTTGCCGCCTCTTACGGCAAGCACAGGTTACTGAAGATCAATTCTAACCCTGATCTTCACGGGTCCGTGATGGAGTGAGTGATTGAGTTTAGTTTTACACTGCACTCAGCAATATTCCAGCTATATGGCGGCGGTCTGTAAATAATCGAGTCTGGACCAGACGATCCAGTGATCAACATGATGAGCATCGATCTGAGCAATTGGGAACCGATGACATGTGTCAACCAAGCCAGCGAGCCTGACCACCCGATTCCGTTAGTCGCCTCTTACGACAAGCATGGGTTACTGAAGATCAATTCTAACCCTGATCTTCACGGGTCCGTGATAGAAGACATGAGCATCAACATACACAAACATAATGGCACATACACAAATATAATGGGATACAGTGATAAGCATCTGATATACCAAGTCAGCGAATGTGATCAACCGTTCCCGTTCGTCGCCTTATAAGCCAAACAGTGGTTGCTTAAGATCGGTTCTAACCCACATTTCAACGGGTGAACAGTCAATGCAACCACCAGTGCTGATATATTGATGCGTTATTGACTAAGGGCAAAAACGGTAACTTGAAAATTGGATTTGACCCCCAAATTGCAAGCATTGTCAAAACGTAAAAGGCTGACTAACAGTCGTCTAAACACTATGGACAGACTTATAGTGCGTCAACTCAACTTTTGGCACCCTGTTTTGCACAATTTACATAAAACTCCTGAATATTTTAAAACACTGCTCTGTTCATATGGTAATTTTATACCGTGACCTAACAAGATATCGATTTTAGTAATTATAAAACGATTATTAAAGATTTTGCCTTTAAACCTGTCATATAATAATTGTAAAAATGTACACCATGTTGTTGGCTGTTCCATCGTATCATTTTACTCCCTTGTATAACTACTTCTATTTTTCATATTTTTATAAGATGGCTTCTTAAGAAGAAGCTTTAACAATTGACATAAAATTATGAAATTTAAACCTTGGATAGGTCATAAGATATAAAGAGCGTATGCACAAAACATTTGAAGGCATTTTTTGGTTAAAAGGTAATTTGTGAAAAACAGGGTGCCAAAAGTTCAGTTGACGGACTATAAGTCCAAACTAGAGCTATGATAGGTTTGAAGTACATCCCAATATGATTGTTACTTATTTAGCCGCCATAAAATACGTACTTTGTTTGCTCGTGGGAGTATTGAACCTGCATTATGTACAAAAACATTTTGGCTGGCTCGGCTCATCACTTTGTAGGAGTGGACGGGGTCTCCAAAATGAGTCCAATCTAAAGGTTGAACATCTTTCCTGCTGAAGATCCGGGTTAGAATTTGTCTTCAGCAACCCATGCTTGTCGTAAGACGCAACTAACGGGATCGGGTGGTCAGGATCGCTGACTTGCTTGACACTGGTCATCGTATCCCATTTGTGTAGATCGATGCTCATGTATTGATCACTGGATTATTAGACATTAGATCACCAGTTACATCGTGATCATGGTCTGTGAATAGAGTATCTCACATTTGTTGTATTTTCTTGGAGGGAGTATTGTAAAATCTATGGAAGAGGTGCATTTTGTTTATTTCCAGATTGCACACTAAGTTTCGAAATACTACGTTTATCTTTGCATTGTAAGAATCGATGCTATCTCTTGGTAAGGGTAAACAAGATGCGCGTCTTCTGATAACGCTGCTTGTGTTACGTCATGCACACGCCCTGGGGGAGGGTCGTAGA